TGGAGGAAAAATAAAATCCTTTGCCAACAAGCAGGTATTCAGAGATTTTTGTCACCACCAGGCCTGCTTTACAAGAGCTCTTGAAAGAGGCACTACACATAGAAAGGAACAACCAGTACCAGCATTCCAAAAACATACCAAATGGTAAACAGCATCAACAAAATGAAGAATCTTCATCAACTAATGGGCAAAGCAGCCAGCTAGCATCAAAGTGGCAATATCAAATTCACACATAACAATATTAACCCTAAATGTAAATGGACTAAATTCCCCAATCAAAAGACACAGACTGGCAAATTGGATAAAACGCCAAAACCTATTGGTGTGCTGTATCCAGGAAACCCATCTCACATGCAAGGATACACAAAGGCTCAAAATAAAGGGAAGGAGGAAGATTTACCAAACAAATGGAGAGCAAAAAAAGCAGGAGTTGCAATTCTTGTCCCTGATAAAATAGACTTTAAAGCAACAAAGATCAAAAGAGACAAAGAAGGACATTACATAATGGTAAATGGATCAATGCAACAAGAAGAGCTAATGATCCTAAATATATATGGACCCAATACAGGAGCACCCAGATATGTAAGGCAAGTTCTTAACGACTTACAAAGAGACTTAGACTCCCACACAATAATAGTGGGAGACTTTAACACCCCATTGTCAATATTAGATCAACCAGACAGAAAATTAAGAAGGATATCCAGTACTTGAACTCAGACCTGGACCAAGCAAACCTGATAGACATGTACAGAACTCTCCACCCCAAATCCACAGAATATACATTCTTCTCAGCACCACATCACACCTACTCTAAAATTGACCACATACTTGGAAGTAAATCACTCCTCAGCAAATGCAGAAGAACGGAAATCATAACGAACAGTCTCTCAGATCACAGTGCAATCAAGTTAGAACTCAGAATTCAGAAACTAACTTAGAACCTCACAGCTTCATGGAAACTGAACAACTGGCTCTTGAATGTTGACCGGATAAATAATGACATGAAGGCAGAAATAAAGATGTTCTTCGAAACCAACAAGAACGAAGACACAACATAACCCGAATCTCTGGGACATATTTAAAGCAGTCTCTAGAGGAAAATATATAGCAATAAGTGCCCACATAAGAAGAGTGGAGAGATCCAAAATTGACACCTTATTGTCAAAATTGAAGGAGCAAGATCAAAAAAACTCAAAACCTAGCAGAAGACAAGAAATAACTAAGATCAGAAAAGAACTGAAGGAGATAGAGACACAGAAAACCCTTCAAAAAATCAAAAATCCAGGAGCTAGTTTTTTGAAAAGATCAACAAAATAGACAGACTACTAGCCAGATTAATAAAAAAGAAAAGAGAGAATAACCAAATAGATGCAATAAAAAACGATAAAGGGGAAATCACCACAGATTCCACAGAAATTCAAACCATCATCAGAGAATCTTACAATCAACTCTAGGCACATAAACTAGTAAACCTGGAAGAAATGGATAAATTCCTGGACACTTGTGTCCTCCCAAGCCTAAACCAGGAAGAAGTCAAAACCCTGAGTAGACCAATAACAAGATCTGAAGTGCAGGCAGGAATTAAGAGCCTACAACACAAAAAAATCTCAGGTCCAGATGGGTTCACAGCCGAATTCTACCAAACATACAAAGAGGAGCTGGTACCATTTCTTCTGAAACTATTCCAAACAATCCAAAAAGAGGGAATCCTTCCCAAATCGTTTTATGAGACCCATATCATCCTGATACCAAAACCTGGCAGAGACTCAACAAGAAAAGAAAACTTCAGGCCAATATCCATGATGAACATAGATGCAAAAATCTTCAATAAAATACTGGCAAGCCGATTGCAACAGCACATCAAAAAGCTTATCCACCATGATCAAGTAGTATTCATCCCAGGGATGCAAGGCTGGTTCAACATATGCAAGTCTATAAACGTAATTCACCACATAAGGAGAACCAAAGACAAAAGCCACATGATTATCTCAATTGATGCAGAGAAAGCGTTTGACAAAATTCAACAGCCCTTTATTCTAGAAACCCTCAATTAACTAGGTATTGACAGAACATATCTCAAAATAATAAAAGCTATTTACGACAGACCAACAGCTAGTATCATACTGAATGGGCAAAAAGTGGAAGCATTCCCTTTGAAATCTGGCACTAGGCAAGGATGCCCTCTCTCAGCACTCCTATTCAATATAGTACTGGAAGTTCTAGCCAGAGCAATCAAGCAAGAAAAAGAAATAAAGTGTATTCAAATAGGAAAGGTGGAAGCCAAACTGTCTCTATTTGCAGACGACATGATTGTATAACTAGAAGACCCCATTGTTTCAGCCCAAAATCTCCTGAAACTGATAAGCATCTTCAGCAAGTCTCAGGATGCAAAATCAATGTGCAAAAATCACAAGCATTCCTATACACCAATAACAGACTTAAAGAGAGCCAAATCAAGAATGAACTGTCATTTACAATTGCTACAAAGAGAATAAAATACCTAGGAATACAACTAACAAGGAACATAAAGGACCTCTTTAAGGAGAACTACAAAACACTGCTCAACGAAATAAGAGAGGACACAAACGGATGGAGAAACATTCCATGTTCATGGTTAGGAAGAGTCAATATCGTGAAAATGGCCATATTGCCCAAAGTAACTTACAGATTCAATGCTATCCCCATCAAGCTACCAATGACCTTCTTCACAGAACTGGAAAAATCCACCTTAAACTTCATATGGAACCAAAAGAGAGCCCGCCTAGCCAAGTCAATTGTAAGCAAAAAGAACACAGCAGGAGGCATCACACTACTGGACTTCAAACTATACTACAAGGCTACAGTAATCAAAAGAGCCTGGCACTGGTACCAAAACAGAGATATAGACCAATGGAACAGAACAGAGGCATCGGAGGCAACACAACATATCTACAACCATTTGATCTTTGATAAACCTGACAAAAACAAGCAATGGGGAAAGGATTTCCTGTTTAATAAATGATGTTGGGAAAACTGGCTAGCCATGTGCAGAAAGCAGAAACTGGACCCCTTCCTTACACTTTACACTAAAATTAACTCCAGATGGATTAAAGACTTAAACATAGGACCTAACCCTGTAAAAACCCTAGAAGAAAATCTAGGCAAAACCATTCAGGACATAGGAGTAGGCAAGGACTTCATGACCAAAACACCAAAAACATTGGCAACAAAAGCCAAAATAGACAAATAGGACCTAATCAAACTCCACAGCTTCTGCACGGCAAAAGAAACAGTCATTAGAGTGAATCGGCAACGAACAGAATGGGAAAAATTTTTGCAGTTTACCCATCTGACAAAGGGCTGATATCCAGAATTTACAAAGAACTAAAACAGATTTACAAGAACAAAACAAACAAGCCCATTGAAAAGTGGGCAAAGGATATGAACAGACACTTTACAAAAGAAGACATACATGAGGCCAACAAACATATGAAAAAATGCTCATCTTCACTGGTCATTAGAGAAATGCAAATCACAACTACATTGAGATACCATCTCAAGCCAGTTAGAATGGCGATCATTAAAAAATCTGGAGACAGCAGATGCTGGAGAGGATAGGAACACTTTTACACTGCTGGTGGGAGTGTAAATTAGTTCAACCATTGTGGAAGACAGTGTGGGGATTCCTCAGGGACCTAGAAATAAAAAGTCTGTTTCTATATCATCTTATATCCAAAGGACTATAAATCATTCTACTATAAGGACACATGCACACGAATGTTTATTGCAGCACTGTTTACAATAGCAAAGACCTGAAATCAACCCACATGCCCATCGATGATAGACTAGACAGGGAAAATGTGGTACATATACACCATGGAATATTATGCAGCAATCAAAAACGATGAGTTCATGTCCTTTGTAGGGACATGGATGAACCTGGAGAACTTCATTCTCAGCAAACTGACACAAAGAACAGAAAATGAAATACCGCATGTTCTCACTCATAGCTGGGTGTTGAACAATGAGAACACATGGACACAGGGAGGGGAGCACTACACACTGGGGTCTGTTGGAAGGAATAGGGGAGGGAGAGCACAGGGTGGGGAGTTGGGGAGAGATAGCATGGGGAGAAATGCCAGATATAGGTGATGGGGAGGAAGGCAGCAAATCACACTGCCACTTGTGTACCTATGCAACTATATTGCATGTTCTACACATGTACCCCAAAACCTAAAATGCAGTTAAAAAAAAAAAAGCGAATCAAGATTCAGCTCTTAAAAAAGGACAGTTGGTGAGAAAGGAAGCTTAGGAATGCTGGATTTCACTAGCTTTGCCCAGATGCGTAAGCCACAGTTTTTCTTGTCACTCTTGAAAGTTGTACTCCTTCCTTACAATGACTTCCATAATTGTGAAGCATGTTGGTGAGGTCTTGGAGCCAGGTAGTCATCAGTGCAAATTTCTGTTGTTCTACCACTTAGCAGATTGCTAAGCCTTAATTGGGATGATGATATAATCTTCAGAGTCATGAGGATAGATAGGAACCTGTGTAAAGCATCTACTAGCATGTCCCAGGAACTTTTCCCCTTGTGCTCAGTTGCCTTATGTTTTCAATCTCTGTACTGTGTTCTATCCTATCGGTATTGACTTTAATAAAGTCTTCATTTTTTTCCCCCTAAAATGTGCATCCTATTTGGAGACACCTTTCCCTCTCAACCTTATAGAGCAAGTCTTTGTTGTTACATACCATTTTTAGTTGTTGATCATTATACTATTGGAACTTAAGCCTAATTATTTCTTTGAATATAATTGCATATATGATTTTATTGTCTCTTCTCCAAAGCTAAAGGATAATCAAGTAGGATTCGAGCCATTATAAATCAGAATTAACAGATATCCTTTAAGTTTTAGAATAAGTAGGAATTTGAACAGCATCTCTGTACAGAAGTTTTCCTTAAGGAAAAATGTTTTAAACACTTATAAGATTATAATTCTGACCATTGCTTTGTTTTATGTTACAGTGAAAATGCCTCGTGTAAAAGCAACTCAAGCTGGAAGACAGGGCCCTGCAAAGAGACATCTTGCAGAACAGTTTGCAGTTGGGGAGATAATAACTGACCTGGCAAAAAAGGAATGGAAAGTAGGATTACCCATTGGCCAAGGAGGCTTTGGCTGTATATATCTTGGTAAGTGACTGCTTCTAATGATCAATCTGAAGATTTATGTGGCTTTCTTAACAATGGTTTCTCAATTCTGAGCTATTACAGGATGCTCCTAATAATCTGCAGTCAACTTAATAGTGTCTGATTAAGCAAAAATGCATCTTTGACATAGGAGTGGAAATTGTTAATCGCAACAGAAAAAGAGGATAAAATATCTGTAAAATTGTCTTTAGTGAGGACTAAGGCTTTAGATTTTTAAGATACTCCATATAATAATAATCTCTTTTGAGACCCAAAGAAAACAATATACATATCTTTCCCCTCCGTCCTCCACCTAAGTGGGATTTATTCCCTCTGTGTTTGTGTAATTTGGAAGTTTGCAAATACTTTACAAGTGTGGGTTTCTTTTTTCTTTCTGTACAATCAGCATAGCTGTCATACTGGAACTAAGAGAATTACGTAGACACTGCATATTAGGCCCAATTAAATGTGCCGATAACTCGCATACTTATTCTGAGATTTTTTTGGGACCCGTTGTATAATCCTGAAATTCTTGTTAACTAAATTATTGACTTAAAAAAGATTTTAACTGATTGCTTCTAAAGCTGTCTGCTTCACCAATAAATGTTAGTAGTGATACAGTGCAATTCATATTTGCTTCTGATTTTTCTAACTTTTCCATTCTATGTTCTCACTGTACTTCTAATCTCAGATTGATTATTGAATTTCTGCCATGAAGGTTTATACAATGTTATTTTTTAGCAATATCTTAGTCAGAATACTGATAATATGACATAGATTAGTGTCACTTGGAAACTTGTTAGACCTACAGTTTTTTGAGCCTTACCTCAGATTACTAATCAAAAACTGTAGGGAGAGGGGCCAGCAGTGTTTGATCAAGTCCTCTAGGTGATTCTGATGCATGCTGAAGTTTGAGAACCACTGACATAGGTAAAGAACACTGCTTTTACTCAAGAGGAGTCCCAATTAACCTGCTCCAGGACCAGTGGGCTGCCCTTGATCAGTTGCAGTTTCTGGAGCTATCTTTATGAAACACAGCTTGAAATCGAGTGCTTTATCATATTTTACACATATGATTCCTGTCGGTCAGTGGCACCCTTCTTTGTCAAATATGTGTCGATTCTCTGGTTTTGTTTAGAGCCAAACCCATTCCAGTGAACTAGGCTTTATCACTGATTTATGGCAAAAATCCTTGTAAGCCATGAACGATTAGAGGCTATATTAGTCAGTATATATTTTTGATCTTGTTATTTAGGGGAGATGGTAGATTATGTAAGCTGTCTTTACTACGGGATATATGGATTTATGCCATCTCATATTAATAGGAACTTGTCTCTAAAAAAACAAGTTCTTCATTTTACATTAGTTAATTTACTGTTGTAACCTTTTGCAAATTTAGAACTTGCTTTGTCTCATCTGTTTTATTTGTATTTATCATCCAAAGATGCCGTCTAATAGTATTTTTAATAGGCCATGGTTTGACAGATCTCTGTAATAAAACTTTACTTTTATAAGGCTGGGATGACTAATTTATAAAAGGAGGGACTTGTTTGAACATTGTTGCCTCCAGTCTCTTGCTTCCAGATTCAAGATCACCAGCAGTTTCTGTAAATGAATTAAAAAGATTGCTTTTGAATTTTCTTCGGATTTTTTTTTTTCTGTAGCATTTGATACTTTCTATCTTTCTTTCTCATAACAGTTGCTTCCATTGTCTTTTATGATAACATACCTTTCTTCTAGTTTTCTTTCTGCTTTTCTGGCTGTACTTGGTCATCTCTGTAGGCACTTCTCTGTGCTCCAGCTTGTCGTCTTAGGTTCACTTTTTATTCTATATATTCTGTCTGAGTGAAATCAGGATTCTGTTACTGTCTCTTTACTGTTGATTTCTATATCTTTTATGTGTAGCCTAGGACTTGATTTCCTGTGTCCTGGCCCATAGCCACTGTCCTCTACCGTAAGGGATCTCTACTTAGATGTTCTACCAGCATTTCTAAAACGTATCATCATCTTTTATCTCCTGATCCTGTCATGAGGATTGTCTCAATGAATGATAGCCTTGAAGCCAGAAATAGGGAAGGCGTTCTTGAGCATTCCTTCACCAAGAGCCTAGTTCCTTTTCTAGTCCTGTTGCTTTACTTGAGTGACTTCTCAGATCCATTTATTTCTCTCCATCTTTGCAGCCACTGTCCTAGGTCAGGTCATGATCATCATGTCTTGTCTGGGCACTCACTATGGCACTGAATCTTCCCTGTCCCAGACTTGCTGCCTTGCACACCGTTGTTTCAGTTTGGCTTGTATGACCAAGTCTACTGATAAGATAATATAATCATCCTGTTTAAATCTCTCTGATAGCTCCTCAGTTCCCTTCGAATAAGATGCCAAACTTTTGAAAATGGCATACAAACCCCTTCGCATACAACGTTGGTCTTCATCCCTTTTATCTCCTGAAAGTCTGTGCTTCAGCTATCTTGCTGCCCTTTGGCTCTTGATCTTTGTATATGATGCTTTAGAAATTTTTAAATATATTTTATTTTACATTGTTTTTGTACCAAGCCTGTGAAAAATTTGTTAGCTTTACTGATGTATAATCCATATACTTAGACTATTGGTTTAGCCTCTTAACTGATCTACCTGCTTCTGCCCTTGCCCCTGTACTCCATTCTCCACTAAGCAGTCCAACGAAGTCTTTACTACCACAGTCTGATTTTGCTAATCCTCTTTTCAGAAGCTTCCAGTGGCTCCCATCTCATTCAAAGTGACAGTCAAAACCTTTATGTCACCTGTTCAGCCTATTGTATTTGTTCCCTGCTGCTTTCTGATCTATCTTCTCTTCCACCTCACTTAGTTTCCCCCAGTTACTTTTGCCTCCTTGTTTTGCAAACACTTCAAGCATACTCACACATCAGGGGCTTTTTTTTTTTTCTTTTTTTGATATGGAGTCTTGCTGTGTTGCCCAGACTGGAGTGCAGTGACATGATCTTGGCTCACTGCAGCCTCTGCCTTTTGGGTTCAAGTGATTCTCTCACCATCAGCCTCCCGAATAGCTGGGATTACAGGTGCATGCCACCACCATGCCTGGCTAATTTTTCTGTTTTTATTAGAGATGGGGTTTTGCCATGTTGACCAGGCTGCTCTTGAACTTCTGACACCAAGTAATCCATTCACTTAAGCATCCCACAGTGCTGGGATTACAGGTGTGAGCCACTGTGCCCAGCCCACATCGGGGTCTTGCTGCTGTTCTGCCTGGTATATGTACATGGCTTATTTCCTTCTTGCTCCCAGACTACTGCTCAAGTGACACCTTGTCAGTGAGGTTTAGATCTTTCTTACCGTGTGGCCACACTGCTTACCTTTCTTTCCTGCTTAATTTGTCCTCTATAGCACTTCACACTGTCAAATGTATTTCATATTTTATTTGTGCTCTGCATCCTACCACTGAAATGGTGGCTTTTTAAGATTAAGGATTTTTTTTCCTGTTCATTGCTAAATCTCTATTTCCTAGAAACTGACATTTAGTATGTACTTGGTAAATATTTGTTTAGTGAATATTGGTAACCTTTTACTTCGAACTCAGTATTCTGGGCAACTGTGCTTTTATTTGCATGAAATAAAATGACAGCCCCATTAAAATTATTCTGATGACAGTTGAAAGTTCTAGTGCCAACATCCTGAACTATTGGTCCAGATGAGTTTTTCCCAAACTAATGCATTTTAGAACTTTAGCTCCCTCATTTCTTACTCCCTTACATTTCCCAACTCTTCAGATGCTCCTCTTAAAAGAATTTCATAGTTTATTACATTTAAGAAAATGTATCACTTATCCTCTGGGGAATTTACAATATACATTAGCATATCAAAGGCCATTAGTACTTTTGAATTAAAAAAATCTTTAACTTATTTAACTCAGAGTTTCCCACATGTAATTGATAATTATATGGAAGAAATTGTAAGATGCATTCTAAATTCAGATATGTTAAAATGTGAATAAAAATCTTAAAAATTATGAAATGTACTGTAATGATACCCTGAAACACCATTTGGGAACTGAAGTGTATTCTATCAAGGGGATACAGATATACAAACCTAAATATTAGTATCTTTATAATATTACTTGTTCTGATATTAAATGATTTACTTTTTTAAACAGCTGATACGAATTCTTCAGGGTCAGTTGGAAGTGATGCACCTTGTGTTGTAAAAGTGGTAAGAAATATTTTAGCTAATTTGTTTCTTTTCTGTTGATTTGGTGTAGTCATTTTATAAAATGCCTTTTTTGATTGTCTAGAGTTAGTTAAACCGTAAGATATTACATTTTTAATAAAAAATATTTAATAAGACAGAAAATTAGCTTTATAGTTTTAAATCACTTGAGTGTGAAAAGTTCCTCTCTCTTGAAATAAAGTGGCACTGGTATTTGGGGATAAATAAATGAAAGCATAGAGGCATGCATATATGGAATAAAAATATTTAGCTCATTTAAGAAATTTCAGCTACTTTTACAGATACTTTTTTTATTTATATCTTGTAAGCCTATACTAATTTAATGTAATTTTATTGTATTTTATTTTGTATTTGCTTCTGGACTTCTACTTGGTCAATTTTTTCTGTTTATTCCCAATTTTCTTTTCTTCCTCTTCCATTTTAGTAAGTTAAATTATTTATTTGTGATTGTTGGGCCTGTTTTGCTGTAATAATGTTGAAATTAGTTTGTAATGAGTAAAGATTGGCAACATCCTATCTGACGTAAGCATACTTCTAACAGCCATATCAATTTATAGGTTGACGAACTATAAGACATTTTAACTATTATTTTTTAAATCAATTATGCACCTTTTTGCTTACCAACATTTGTTACTCTCTTTCTTCAAAGTTCTTGACACATGTGAAGAATATGTTTTGGTTAAATAGAAGAACCAACAGGCTGTATTATCTGGACAAATTAACATATAACTCTTCCCCTCCTTTTTTTCCTGAAGGATACATGTATTAGAGTTCTCTAGAGGGACAGAACTAATGGGATAGATGTATATATGGAGGGGATGCCCCCATGATTCATTACCTCCCATCAGGTTCCTCCCAGGACACGTGGGGATTATGGGAGCTACAATTTAAGATGAGATTTGGGTGGGGGCACAGCCAAACCATATCAAACAGAACTCAGGAATTAGAATTACCCTGAAGGTTTTCATTTTGTTTCATTTTACTCTCTGTTATATTTTATCTCTTAGGAGTCAGCTTTTTTGGACCTTTTTAGTGACTTTTAAACTTTTTAAAAAAAAAATTGAGGCATAATTTTTACAGGGAAATACATAGATACCAAGTGAACAGTTTGAAGACTTTTGACAAGCAAATATACCTGTGTAACCCTCACCTCTTAAAATGTAGAACATTTCCATTACCTCAAAAAGATTCCTTATGTTCTTTTTCAGTCAAAACCCTACTTCCTTGCACCCTTGGAGGCAACCACTTGTCTTTGAGTTTTTTTTTTTTTTTTGCTGTGAATGAGTTATTCCTGTTTCAGAAGGTTATGTGAATTATATTAAACAGTGCATATTGTTTTGTAGCTTGTTATGCTCAGCATAACATTTTAATGCTTCATCCATATTGTTGGTGTATCAGTCATTTGTTTTCATTTTACTGCTTTCTTGATAGACATTGGTTTTGTTTCCAGTTTTTGGTATTATGAATAAAGCTTCTCCAAACATTCTTGTATAAGTCCTTTTTTATGGACACAGATTTTTGCTTTTTTGGATAGATACTTAGTAGTAGAGTTGCTGATTTATAGGGAAGATTGCCTGTTTAAACTTCTAAGAAAGTACCAGGCAGATTTCCAAAGTGGTTGTACCCCTTTACACATAGACCAATAATACGTGACAGTTCAGTTTGCGTCCTCTTCAACATTTGGCATTGTCAGGAGTGTGTATTTGCTCTTTAGCCATTACTTACTTTAGTTAGTGTGTAGATGTGGCCTTTAGTTTCAGTTTGCATTTACTTGATGCCTAATGATTTGGGGCAGTTTTTTGTTGTGCTTGTTGGCCGTTCGTGTATTTTCCTTTGTGGAATGCCTCTTCAGTCCTTTTTTGCTCCTTTCTTCTTACTTTTATCTTTTAAAAATAACTGGGTCATTTTGTTTTTTATAATTGAGGAGTAAGAGCGTTTTTTTCTGGATGCAGGTCCTTTTTCGGATATGCATCTTCAACATTTTCTACTAGTTTATAGTTTGCCTATTTATTTTTTGAATGCTTTTTCTGCATCTGAGATGAATCACAGGATTTTTCTCCTTTATTCTGTTAATGTGGCAGTTACATTGATTGATATTTGAGTATTGACCGAACTTTGTATTTTTAATATACATCCCACTTAGTCCTGGTATATTTTACTTTTTACATAATGCTATAATTGATTTGTGAATACTTTGTTAAGGATTTTTGTGTCTTTGCTCATGAAGGATATTGGTCTTTTGTTTTTTTCCCCACTATTTCTCAATTCAAAATTTCCAGTCTCCTTGTTGATTTTGGTAGCAGAGATCTGCACCTGGCACTCTGTTTGGTCTTCCCCTTTTTGCTCTGTGGGTCTCTTAAGTCTCCACCTTTTTACTCCTAGGTACTCTAGGGGAAAATAGCCAGGGCTGCCATGGAGTCACTTTGTTTTCTGTCTGTTAGTGGTCACAGTCCTCCTGTCCTGCCCATTGTCTAATTCTGAAAATAGTAATTTTCTTTCTTAAGTCCATTTTTATCTTTCTTTGCAGTGGGAGGGCTAACTGGGTCCTGGTTATTGCCTCATGCAGGGAAGTGGAAGCAAAGCGATGCCTTTAAACTTGTATCAGCGTTTTATTTCTCCTGCCCCTTTTCATGATGGCCTTTCATTGTGGATTTTTCTTCTTTCTTAATTGTGGAATAACATTCTTTTTGGAATAGCCTGCTGCTAAATCAGAGGAACTGAGGTTTTTATTATTAAATCGGGTCATTTGTATTTAATTGCAGAATATTATGTGCATTTGTTTTTGATAATGCAAATTAAAATATTAAAATATATGGGTAAGATGAATTTCTTATTAGGATCCTTAAGAGTACTGTTGTGAGAAGAAAGCACATCTCCTTACAACGTCTCATAATGTCCAGGTTCAAATGATGTGGTTACTTCTGACCTCTTGCAGTTGGTCGGTATAGTGTGTGTCTTGGAAGGAAAATGTGGCATCATATCTTATAGGTGGAACGGTGTATAATCATACCTTTTTTTGTTCTGTATAACCTGAACTTTATTTTTTTAAAGACAGAGTCTCACTCTGTTGCGTGGGCTGGAGTGCTCTGGTGCAGTTATAGCTCATTTTAGCCTTAATCTCCTGTGTTCAAGCAGTCCTGTCATCTCAGCCTCTCTAGTGGCTGGGACTACAGGCACACACCACCGTGCCCGCCTATTTTTTTTTTATTTTTAGTAGACAGGAGGTCTTGCTTTATTGCCCAGGCTGGCCTCAAACTCTTAAGCTCAAGTGATCCTTCCCTCTCAGCCTCCTAAAGTACTGGGATTATAGACATGAGCTGTGGCACACAGTGTCTGAACTTCCTTAAGTTGTGTTTTATCATAGAATGATGTGCTTGCTTACTGTAATTAGAAATATTTCTGTTGTTGTTCTTTATTGTAATTATTTCTGTTGTTAGTCAATGTAACTTCACTTTTACTACCTTTTTAACTTAGTTAAGAAAAAACATGGCCAGGAACAGGCATTTTCTATATGCTTAAGGTAAAGAATTATATTGTTGTTATTTTTGTTTTGTTTTTGAGATGGAGTTTCGCTCTTGTTACCCAGGCTGGAGTGCAATGGCGCGATCTCATCTCACCACAACCTCTGCATCCTGGGTTCAGGCAATTCTTCTGCCTCAGCCTCCTGAGTAGCTGGGATTACAGGCACGCGCCACCATGCCCAGCTAATTTTTTGTATTTAGTAGAGACGGGGTTTCACCATGTTGACCAGGATGGTCTCGATCTCTTGACCTTGAGATCCACCCGCCTCGGCCTACGAATTATATTGTTAAATGTAAGGCCAAGTACCTAGTTCAGGACTGTATATCTCCTGTCTCTTAATTTAGTTCTGTTTCCATTATCCTTTATTATTAGTCCTCTTTGCAATTAAGACTGTGATAAATACTTGATTTCTCTTTAGCATTTAATATTTTAGTAACTTTTTTGATGTTGCAGTTATCCTAAAAGAATGTCATAAACAAAACAATATTACTGGCCAGGCACAGTTGCTCACATCTGTAATCCCAATGCTTTGAGAGGCTGAGGCGAGTGGAAAACTTTACTAAAATACAAAAAAAAATCAGCTACTCTCGAGGCTGAGACAGGAGAATCACTTGAACCTGGGAGGAGAAGGTTGCAGTGAGCCGAGATTAGTGCCACTGCACTCCAGCCTCCGCTATAGAGCAAGAGGGTCTCAAAAAGAAAAAAACAGTATTACTGACTTTCTCTTTCCCATTGAAGGGGAAATTTGTAACTTCTATTTGCTTCTTTTCCCCTTGATGGCACTATCTCCTGAATGCCTTTAAACCCCTGCGGCACTTATTGTATTAACATTTATTTTACAGTTTCACATGCTAATATTCTTATGCCACTAGTTTTTAGTTTTTTTTAAATGTGTTTATTCTGTTTCTCTAACTAGATTTTAAGTTACCTGATAAGGCTCTTGTTCACAAAGTTTGTTTTCCCTATGCAGTCTTTAGATGCTTATTTTATTTATTCTTTTGAATACTTTTTAGCCATTAATTGTCCATTATCTTTTTACTACTCTCTTCATTTACTCTAAACTTCCTGTTGTCATTCACTTTCCTGTCTGTACCGTAGAGAGTAGGCCCGTTCATAATTTGCCTTCTCACAGCTTTATAATATTATGGTTAAGATGTTTCACCAAATACAAACATGTGAAATGAGTTAGCCGTTCTTTCTGATACTGAAATCAGAACTGTTGATGAACATCTGTCCTTTCTAACTTTATAGGCTATTAAAGATCATATTTTCAAAGCATGTGTACTACTATGGGGAAATTTTATAATTATTTCTCAAACAGCAGGGTGCAAAATTCTATATGTAGTTTGAAGATTGTTTTATAAAATGACTATATATGAAGAAAATACATGAAAGCATTGCCATATTTTCTAAAATGAGTGTGTGTTTTATCATCAGAGAAAAAACTTGCAAATCTTAAGAAATAAAGGCAAATTGATTTTTAATGTGAAATTATACTTAATAATGTAATAGCATATCAAACAGTGGTTCTCAATCCTGGTTGCAGAGTATAATCAGAATCTCCGGGTGTGGGGCCAGGTTATTGGTATTGTTAGTAAAGCTTCCCAGGTGATTCTTTTGTGCATCAGGACTGAGAACACTGTAGAATTGGCACACAGAGCACCTTAATTATTTTAAATGGAATCATGTGTGCATGAACATTTTTATCTTTGTTTTCAGTAGGGGCTTGCAGGTACCCTGTGCTGCTGGTAAGGGTTCCTAACTTAATGTGGATGGTTTGTCAAGGAATTGGTTATTGCTAATAATACATGTATCTTTATGAAATAGCTCCAAATAGTTAACCCACAGATTTCTTATTTGGCATTGGAGTGAAGTTAAAACATATACATTCAAAGTAGATGTCAAGTACATACTAAAAATCTCCCATGTACCAATTGATGGTCTCTGGTTTTGTTTGGGGCCTTAATCCTTGACCTACAGGAGAGACACTGTATTTTCTTTCTGAAAGTGTGCAGAGAGAAATTTCAATTCTACCAGTGTTCTCAGTCTTGATGCACAAAAGAATCACCTGGGAAGCTTTACTAAAAATACCAATAACCAGGCCCAACACCCGGAGATTCTGATTATACTCTGCAACCAGGATTGAGAACCACTGTTGAATATGCTATTACATTATTAAGTATAATTTCACATTAAATTTAAATTTAAATAGATAATAAGTTGGATAATGCAAGGAGAAATAATTCTCTTTTGTGTTTTCTTGCTGACGGGCTTAACAAGAAATTAGTAGTTCTTTGAATTGCATTTACCCTTTACAGTCATGTCAGTAGCAGAACTAGAGGCAGAGGTCAGCCTTTTGGATGGTATCCTAACAGGTCATTGTATCATGGTCCTTTTCTGGTGTGAACTGATATGAATCTGTATTTCACAGTTCCTTGGAAAGAAGTTTGCAGACTGATGTTTGATTTTCCTCACTGATGTTATGAGAAGTGACCTGAATTTTTAATTCATATCTCATAATTTTTTGGTAGGAAGGAGAAATTTTGTACGGCTTCGTTTTTAAATGGCAGCCAGTTGCTTTTAGCTGGTGCCATTGAAATATATCACATTTTAATTTTTTTTCTGTTGTCATCTTCATTTTGACACTTAGAAGTCTTAAAGAAACGTTTAGTGATATTCTAGTTAAAATGTCAGTCCCAATTTCTTTTCTAAATCTTGGCTATTATAGAGTTGGCAAAGTATTTCAGATTTGAAATATGTTAATAAAATTTTAGTTATGAGTTAAGGTATTTTCTTCAACAGGAATAGCTAGCTTTGGCTAGAGTGCAATGCCAAGGAAGTAGCTCCTTTATTTTGTGATAATGGAAGTTTATTGGATTAGAAGAAGTATGAAATGAGCTCAGAGAGCCGTACTGTAGTGGGCTTTCATTATAATAGCCTGATTTATATGGTTGATTCTCATTATTGTAAGTTTAATAAATTATTGCCTGAAGGAAAACTTGAAAGTTAAAGTTGATACGACATAGGTTGAAACTGAATAAATCAGAATTTTATACTGATTTGTCTTAGGAAAACCTCTTTCAAACCTGAATTATGTAAATCAGCTATTCTAAAGGTAGCCTTTGGAGAGGAACTTTACCAGAATTTCTCCTTTTGAATTTCTGTTTCTACACTGATTCTGTGATTCCTACTGAAGACCTATTCTTAGCCATTGGCTGGAAACATTGCAAGTGTCTCTTGTAAATGCTTGCAAGTGTCATGCTATCACTGCGGCTAGGAAAGGAGCCACAGGTTACAGAGAAACTTGGGTGCTGAGTTTATAAATTAAGAAGTCAGCACTCATACTTTCAGTCTGTTGATGCATGCCAAGTCATGATACTACTTTCTTCCAGGGTTAGGGTGAAAAGTATACTTACCTGTAACAGATAAGGCAAGCTTATTTTCAGGTTGTGATCCAGGTGTTAACGTATGTTGCCTATTTGCTGTTAAGTGCTCATTCATAACTGCTTGACTCTGAAGATTGGCTGATCAGTTTTTCTCTAAGTACTTTATTTTTATTTATTTATCTTTCTATATCTATTTATCTATTTATTTATGAGAGAGAGAGAGAGAGAGAGAGAGAGAGAGAGAGAGTGAGTCTCGCTTTGTCGCCCAAGGTGGAATACAGTGGCATGATCTTGGCTCACTGCAGTCTTTGCCTCCTAGGTTCAAGTGATTCTCCTGCCTCTGCCTTCTAAGTAGCTGGAATTACAGGCGCCTGCCACCACATCCAGCTAATTTTCCTATTTTTAGTAGAGCTGGGGTTTTGCCATGTTGGCCAGGCTGGTCTTGAACTCCTGACCTCAGGTGATCTGCCCGCCTCAGTCTCCCAAAGTGCTGGGATTACAGGCATGAGCCACTGCACCCAGTGGTAGAAAACAATTGTTAATGAGCACCGTATTTTTATTGACTTTAAATCATGTGGGAAATACGTTGAATGGCTCTTTGGTTTGACAAAAGCAGGAATCGTGTCTGGAAATCTACATCTAGAAAGGAAAGGATGCAGATCAGTGGACAGTGCATGATATGTCCACAAAGGAGATGCAGAATATGCACTCTTCTTTGTGGTAAAGTCTGTTTTTGCCAATCCTGATAAAGTAGATGTAACTGTAATGAAAACAGAAAAGGAATGGGATTTTGCCATTAATTGGTTAAATCAGGTATTGAAGTTTTATTAAATCTCAGAAATATTTTCTAGCCCCTTGGTGATAGAGTTAAGATGGTTGCTCATCTTTGCTTAAGAGAAAGCTTAATAAAGATGAAAATTAGTTTAAACATTTTTCTTAAACTTCTGCAGACTGAGCTGTATATCTGATTTTGTATAATTTGTCACTTAAAGAAATGGAGCTTGAGAGCAATAACAGACTAATATTTCTCTCAACGTTTCTACGGAGTTTGACTTAATCTCAATACAGTTATAAACTTAAGTATCAAAATTACATGGTTTGGACCAAAAAATAGATTTGTTGGTCTTTCTTGAAGGTTCATTGAAAATAACTCAGTAATTTTAACTACTGCTAGTACTAATTAACTCTTGTATTTTAAGGAACCCAGTGACAATGGACCTCTTTTTACTGAATTAAAGTTCTACCAACGAGCTGCAAAACCAGAGCAAAGTAAGACATGCAGTACACATGTTTACACTTTAAAAATGACCCGTTTTTTTGTTTTCTTTTAAGCCCAGATCTAGAGCATTATATCATATGTTCTGACTCTGTTATTTTTTTTGCCTTATAAATTCCATTTATGTGAGATTTATCTGAAATAATTCTGGTCTTTTAATGGGTTTGTTGCATCACTATTTTCCCTATATTGACATATAGAATAAAGTTAATAATAAATGACATGATTTATGAAATATTGTTAAACACTGAGAATTATTGATGAACTAGAACAGGATATCAAGGTAGTAAGCCAGAACCTCTCCTAGTTACTTTGGTCCCTTCTGTCCATCTCTCCTAGACCTTTATTTCCTGGTTGAAGACTTTTAGATTGAGGAAGAAACACCTTTTAGATTGGTATGAAAAACAGGCCTTCCTATAGAATCAAGTAAACATTACATAATTAGAGAGCTAAACTGCAACTTCAGGATAGTCCACCCTCTGTATTCTCAGATTCCACATCCTCAGACTCAACCGACCGGGGATCAAAAATATTCCAGGGAAAAAAAAAAAAAAACAATAAAAAGTAACAATTCAGTAATAAAAAACAGTACAAATAAAAAGCTAGTACAGTATAACTATTGACACAACATTTACATTGTATTATGTATTATAAGTAATCTAGAGATGAGATAAAAGTATATAGGAAGGTGTGTGGAGGTTATATGCAGATAATACACCATTTTATATGAGGGACTTGAGCATCTGGATTTTGGTATCTTGAGGCGTGGGGGTTCCTGGAAACAAGCCCGTAGAACAAAGGAATGACTGTACTGTAGTTTTGATTAAAAAAAAAAATGCTTTTTGTAGATTTTTTTATTTTAAAGAAAAATAGCAGTTTTGTAGGTTAATAAAAATGTTTTCATCGTAAAATGCTTTTCATTATTGGTTATACTGTATTCTTTTTTTATGATTAAAGATGAATTCTTGTTGCATGTATAAATACATTTTGCTTTTAATGATTTTTAAAAAATGATTATTTATGTATAACAATTGAAATCATGAGGATCTGTTTTAATTTGTAGTTCAGAAATGGATTCGTACCCATAAGCTGAAGTACCTGGGTGTTCCTAAGTATTGGGGGTCTGGTCTACATGACAAAAATGGAAAAAGGTAAAAATATGTGTGATTTGTCTTCCTCCTTCCCTTTGCAGCATTCACTAGTTGGTTTAGTCAATAATTATTTACTGATCACTTATAGTATTACTAGGCTTCCATCTGGACTATATGGAATGTATGTGACATAGATGAATAAGATGTTATCTCTGTCTTCTGCTTTCCATAACAGTAGGCGATGATGCCTTATTAGAATAGGGGTGCCTTTCTAATCAGAGGATTTCTAGAGAGCAGTATCAACTGACTGTAACCCAACTGACAAGGAGGAATAAAGCCAAACAGACCCTGGATATTTTTTATTTGCCCTTAAAAATAAACAAACTCCTCTGTTCTTTATGCAAAAGGGAGCCCCTTCAGGATTGCATTTGGTATTTCATGTTGGATACGTAATCTGCCCACATGAGATTACGCTAACCCTTTATGAGGGGTTCAGTCTAGCTGGTGAGTGAAAACAAACATATATCAAACAATTAGAGAACAATTAAGTGCGAAATTGTGTGATACTGACTTACATGTCTTAGGAGTTCAGAGAATGGAGATAATTCCTTGGCAAAGTTTATTTGGAGAAAACCTCTAATACTTTGGTGCATAAACAGCACTTGATACATATTTGAATGAATGAATGGAACTTGATGGAGTAAGGCTTTGGTAGCTGAGACTCTAAGGGTAGATTTACTTTGGAACTGGGGATATATTGCTTCGGATGATTTGAACTGCAAATAAAGGAAAACTTTGACTAGGGCAATCATCAGGGGCCCAAGTTCCTTATCTTTGCCCTCCTCATCTTGGTTTTGTTCTCTGTTAGTTCTCCATTGTGTGGTCTTTGGGTGGCTGCTCCATTTCTAGGCTTCACATGCAGGCATAGTACCCAAGGGCAGAAAATGGTGTCTATCGTGTGTTGCGTGTTTCACTTTCCTGGCAAAGAAAGCTTTCCCAGGAGCCCTGTGGCAGACTTCCTCTCAGTTTTCTTGGTCAGAACTTTATTAATACTTAAGGACAAAGTGATCACAGTGATCCACGTGGAAAAGGATGGAATGCCAGAACCAAATTGGTGCTCCTGTAGAAAAGATTGAGAGGAGGGGAAGTAGTTGGTTAGGCACCCAGTGTTGTGGGGAGCCCTGAAGTCACTTTTAACATTTCCTTTTATGTGGTTTTGCTAGGATAGCAAAATATAGTATAGTTTTTATAATACTATAGAGCGAGGATTAGTTAAGTTAGTTAAGAGCAAGGATTCTAGACTGCCTAGTTTTAAAACCTTGTTCTGCCCCTTAAAAATGTGTGTGACTTTGGGCAATGTTTTGCTTTAATTTCCTCAAATGTGAAATAGAGTAACAGCTACCCACTTAATCATGATTAAGTATAAAGCTACAAGAGTATATGTAAAACATAGATGTTAGCTTTTGCTCTCAAAGGGGTCTTTAATTGCTTAAATGTTAAAACCTACTGGTTTAGAAAATCATTGAAGAGGCGGAATAGCATCTTAAATGGGAGATTAACATGAGCACAGGCAGGATAGGCTTCTGTTCTACCGTATGACCTAATGACCATCTTCCTCTAACAGAGGAAGAGGGCCTGTGTGTAAGAGAGAAGGAAATAAACTTGGAGAGTTGGTGGCAGATAATGAAGACCCACAGAGGAAGGAAGTTTGTAACCAATGTATAGTAGGTAGTCAGAAGCTATTGCTTGCACTTGAGCAAGGGATGAGGTGACACAGTGGTGAAAGTGACATTTGGAAAATGGTTTACATGGTGAATTAAAGACTGTCTAAAGAGGAATAAGACAAGAAAAACCCTTATAGGTGACTTGCTAGAAAAAAAATCTATTTGACTTTGTGCTCCAGTATATAATAAGTTAGATTCCTAAAAACAGTACATTATGCAAAACCACATTATATAGAGATGATTGGAAGAAAAGTGTGCCTGGGGCTAGAGCATTTTTAGACTTGGAATAACAGCCTTTTCCTCTTTCCATAATTTCAATATAAATACCTTAAAAAAAAAGTACAGTATATTGCAGCAAAACCTAAACACCAAACAAATCTAGTGCTGGATTTATTGTATGTACTTCATTGGGTGTGGTCATGGGCTAGTTACTTTCTGTCTCTCTCGTTTCCCTATCTGTGAGATGAGATAATAGTACTTTATGAATTACTGTGAAGATGAAATGAAAACATCTAAATTGTAAGGGGTACACAGTAAGTGCCAGGAAATGTTTGTTGCAGTGATCATCGCTGTGATTATTATGATTGGTTTCATTTGTTGGTCTGTTACTTTTGTCAGTGGTAGTATTTTGCTTGGGAATGATGGTCTCTCTTAAAGTTGCCCACACTGTCATATCACATTTTACCATATCCATTCTTAACACCTGTTTTATGATGAAGTTCAGAACGAGTTAAACAGGTCTTTGTGTGACTCCCGTGAGGTGACCAGGGACTAAGTGGGTCAAAGACTGAGTCTGTAAGCTGACTGACGAGGGCACTGCTGGAAAGAACTTCCCTGGTGTGGATCAGAAGTGCCTTAGAGTGTGGTGACCAACCAGAACACAGTCTGAGTCTTGAGTCACCATTTACTAGTGACTTTACCCACTCCATTTCTTCTATAAAATGAGGTTGCTAGAAATGTCTCCTTTAAAAAGATAGCATTAATCATATGTCAGGCATTGATTTACTCTTTAGGTTGAAGCTCTTAAAAAGAATCATTATAGGTTTTACAGAAGTAAATAAATAGAAAGCAGATTATTCTTCCAGCCCCCTCCCTTGCCAGACAGCCTTCGTTTTTCTTGTAACTCACTGGAATTAATATGTATGTATGGCTTGGAACAATGTTAGCTGCTATCATTATTAAATTATACTGATATATATATATATGTGTATATATATATATATATTTTAAACTTGGGTGTTTTATCCAAGTCTCCAGAAAAGTATACATCAAAGGTTTTACTTTAAAATAGTTACTTAGAAATAACTTTCATTTTATTACTCAACGGCAGAGGTATCTTTCCAGAAGAATGTGGTAATGGTTCTATGAAATTTGTGGAATCGTGTTTTTCAGTTGATGTTTATAATTTAGGTATGGTGAAGAGATTAAGGGCTTAATTAGAATGGTGGTGGGGTGATTTGTGAATAAAAACAAAGACCTACATAGTAGAATTTATTAATAGACCCATGTGGAATTAAGCAATTGTGTTTTAGCCCTCTTTCAGACTGTTACAGAGGTTGTGTTTTTGTTACCTGTGTATTACAAGTTAAGTATCTCTTACCTGAAATGTTGGCACCAGAAATATATTAGATTTGGGATTTCGTCAGGATTTTGTAGTATTTGCATTAATACCTACTGGTTGAGTATTCCAAATCTGAAAATGGGAAATCCGAAACGCTCCAGTGAGCATTTCCTTTGAGCATCGTGTTGGCACTAAAAAATTTTATAATTTTAGAGCATTTCTGACTTCAGATTTTCAGATTTGGGATGCTCAACCTATATTATAATTATTATACACATCACCTATTTAGTAAAAGCCAACATGTATATGTGCCCTGGTCTCATCTCTCAACCTTTCAAAATCTGTTATACAAAGGAAACCAGGAACTCAAAGTTGCCATTTTCACCTTTATTATCTTACAAGCCAGCGTACTAGAAAATCTTACATGAATGAATGTATTTTGCCGCTGACTAACTTTATAACTTTGGACAAGTCACTTCACCTCCAAAGACCTCAGTTATTTTATTTATTAAAGGATGTTTAGAAAAGATGATTTTCTAATTTCCTTCCAGTTCAAAAATGAATAGAGTTCTAAGTTTTTTTTTGTTCAGAATCTTGTCTTTTAATGTTAGTTTAACTCTTCCCTCCCTGTTGAACTTGTCACATTGCTATCATAGAAGCCTACAACATATAAATGGGGGTTTTGTATCCTCCTGACCTTTATTTAAGTATATGTAGTGCAGTGGTTAAAAGCATGATTTGTCACATACTAGAGGACAAATTACTTACAGTTTTCTTCTGCTGTAAAATGGGGCTGATAGGAGTGATCTGCCTTCTTATAGATGTGAGGTTTAAATGGCCTAATGACCTTTTAAGTACTTACAGTAGCGCTGTGCTCATAACAGGTGTTCAGTAAATGCTAGGTGTTATGGTGTTGATGATGTATAGCCTTCCTCATTGGAAGATGTCCTGATACATTCTGAGTGTGGTTTTGGTTTTTATTGATTTACTGAATGATTTAAGCAGACAAGTTAGAATCTGGAAAACTGTTGAAGATAAAAGTGATCTTCAGAGCAGAAGCTGAGCAGTGTTACTGCAAATAGGTGATGCTTTTCTGTAGATACTAAAATACAATATATGATCATTGAATCTGAGTTTTGGGTGCTGGAAGTGCCCTTAGAAAGGGCGAGTCCCTGTTTTCTCATTTTACTTCTGTGGAAATTGAGGCCCAGGGAAGTAATGTGACTTGGCCGAGGTGACATAACTGCTTTATGGCAAACCAGTTATCTTCACATTTTCCCAGGATTTTCATTTTTCCCCAGATCTAGGCTATTGAATGTTTAATGTGCAGTCCTTTTACACCATTTAAACAATTTTACTGAATCTAGCTCTTGTTAAAGCATCTCACGAGAATCTTGGTTTTTAGCAGAATGTTGTTACCTTAAAAATAGAGAGAAACAGTCACAGGAAGGAAGCTGATATCCAGAAACATTAATTAATTTTAACTATGAGAAAAATCATGGCTGTCATGTTTATTCAGCTTATTTTATTTTTACTGTGAATAAAACTTTTGGGTTCTCTGTGTGAACATTATCTTAAATTGAATAATACTCTCCTGTAATTAGCTGAGACCAGGAAGAGGCCCTCCAGGTAAAAAGCAGGACCTGAAAGCACTCTGAACTCTTGAGATTTCTAGTTGGGAGAAATTGTTGCAAATGTTTGTATTTCTTTTTTAAAAAACACTTCCTTACTAAACATTGTCTTGAAAAAAATTTCTTTGAGAGTACTCATTGCAAAGTTGGTTTTCTCGATTTGTATTTTGTTCATTGGCTTTTCATATTTGTCTTCAGTTACAGGTTTATGATAATGGATCGCTTTGGGAGTGACCTTCAGAAAATATATGAAGCGAATGCCAAAAGGTTTTCTCGGAAAACTGTCTTGCAGCTAAGCTTAAGAATTGTATGTGAGCTACGTTTTTCTTATTTTTTAAAAAATTGTTTTTAATACAGTAAAGGCTAGTTTATGTTGAAGCTTGGTCCTCTGCTGGTTGGTGTTAGGTACTGCATTAACTTATTCTGTGTGATACTTTATAGCTAGATATTCTGGAATATATTCACGAGCATGAGTATGTGCATGGAGATATCAAGGCCTCAAATCTTCTTCTGAGCTACAGGAATCCTGACCAGGTAGTTTTATAACTTTAATTTCTACTATTTAAAACATGTTGTTTGAAAATAAATATGGTTGCTTTGAACTTTTGAACCTATGTAGAAGTTTTACTTTTTGAAGTAGATGTGGTAATAATATTTCTTCTTGACACTTTGATCTAGTTAACATTCTACATTTTTGATGTGATTTGTTGGCACTTTATCAAGTTGGCTATTTTGCCCTAAATAATATTCAGAAGAAGTGCTTGTGGTACAAAATGAATTTCAAATAGCTATTTGGGGGTGGAAGCTTAAAATTATATAGTACACCAATGAATTATGTTTGCCTGTCTGCTTTGTCACTTTTTTTTATTCCTTTGTTCAAGAAATCCATCAAATGTAAGTGTTCTATTACTTGGAAAATTTGGTCTTTAACATGTTGATTATTCAAATCAATTGGTTTACAGAAATATCTTAGCTGTCTAAATTTGTATACCCTTAGTGTTTGGAATTCAAATGTGCATTTTTTTTAGCTTTTACATTCCCTTTGTAATTTTTACTTTCTAAGGAAAGGAGAAAAGCTTATAATAATATACCTTTATTTAGGTCAGTTTAGTTGGAATAGAGGGATCTATACAATTTTCCTGTATAGCTGTTTCTGTGATTTCAGTGAAATTAAGGTTTAGTTGATGTTCATACTTAATGCGTGTTCTCACTTCTTACTTGATCTTATACAAAAAGGAAGATTTGAACATTTTAAATGTGTTTGGGTGGAAATTGAGGCCCAAGGAAGTAATGTGTTTGTATTGTAATTATTTGTCAGTAGCTGTACTTCATTCTTTCTCTCAAATTTACCTTTAACTGCCTTTGCTTAGTTTTTCCTTTTTCCTTTGGCTCTCTTTTCTTTTTTTGTCATCTCATACTTGCTTCCCTTTCTCCAGTGTCAGTTATGATGGATATAAAGGAATCTAAGTTCAAAAGAAGATTACTATTCTATTAATATAGTGTGCTAGTGGAGAAATCTTAAAAAGTCGGTCATCAAATTCATCTTTGTTCTTTCTAGCCGTTTTTAGATGTTTCTAGGCTAAGAACAAACAAAATGCAGCTAAGAACCTGAACAATAAGGGTTCCATTAATTTAAATAGGCTAGACTTGTACAGTATAATAAAATACAGCTTAAATCACTTTGCAGGTGACTAAAACATGCTGCTTTTTGTTTATATGGAACTATTTTTGCAGCTCTGTTATCCTTCAGATATATACTCTAGATGGGATTGTTTTTCCAGTGTTAGATGTATGTGCTACATCTAGCCACCTATTTTCACTTCAGTTTCCTCTTGTGCCCAGATGCGTGCATTTATGACGTTAACTCAGAATTAGAGTTGTAATGTGTGGCTGTGGAATAGAAGACAGCCAAGTTTATTACTTTGTATGCTAATCAGACCCACATGTATGTGCCCATGGATAATTATGTATATAATATTAAAATTTAGTTTTAATCATGAAGTCTTGGCTTTAGAATATAGTATTTAAATATAGATAATCGCCTGATCTAAAAGTTCTTTAGATCATCATTATGATGTATGAAATATTTTTATAAAGTAAATTGAGATTTGATAATTTTTCAAGTGAAGAAACAGGAGTAGAACGTAACATGTCATGTGTCCCCATCATTAGCAGTCTTCTATTGGGTGTGCTTTTCTGTGTGCAACAAGTATTGACGGTTTACTCTGTGCTCAATTTTCCTTAGAATCTGTAAGAGAAAGTATAAAATGTATGATTTTTGTTCAAATTGAAGACACAAGATTAATTACAAGTATAACACATACTTATCTAAAAAATATATAATGTCAAGTGACTAGACTGTAGTTATGTGGTCATTTAACTTTTTTATTAAAAATAAAAAGCCTTTCAGAATTAAATATTTGCTGTTGTGTGCATTTTGGATCTCAATTGTTTGGGGTGTTACGGAATGACCTTGTAGGTGAATCCACCTTCAGATGACAGTGTTTTGTTTCTATACTTTAAAGGAGTATATGTGCAGTGATTTTGACTTTAGTTTGTCTTGATGCTTGGAAATTTATAGGTGTACTTGGTAGATTATGGCCTTGCTTATCGGTACTGCCCAGAAGGAGTTCATAAAGAATACAAAGAAGACCCCAAAAGATGTCATGATGGCACTATTGAATTCACGAGCATTGATGCACACAATGGCGTGGGTATGTCAGTAGTGCTTGAGTGAGAAATAAGCTGCTAATGTTTTCTCCCAGATTCCTATGTAGTTCTTAATTTTGCGTAAATAAATAAATAGGTAGACAAATAAGAATTGAAGAGGCTACAGTGGCATGAGGAAAGAAGGCAGAGGTGAGACTCCTACAAATGTTTTTCAGGGCCCTCTGTGTTTTTCTCTCCTGCCTTTTCCTCTCAGCCTTCAAATATAACCAAGAAGGTGGTAGGTAGTGGTGAGGTGGTTCATTCAACTGCAATGAGGATTTCTTTTGGTTTTATTTAGTTTAATTGGAATGTTAGTTTGTTTTTGTGTTTTTTCTCAAGTCTGTAAGTTTATTATGTATCTCCAGCTTTATTATAACAGCTAACTTTTATTTGTTACCTGTTAAGTTAGTTTATTTCTTCAGCAGTCATTTCTTTCTTCTGTGCTCAAAGCTGTGGAAAAACTCAAACACCCGGTTCTCTGGGCCTCTTAATAGCATATAGAAATTGTAAGAATATCTTCAAGTTTTCCAGAGGCAGTACTGAATATACCACTGTTTTATTTCTACACTGATAGTCTCCACCTGAAACCGTAAAATTGACCAATTTGGGTTTTAAAGTAAATTGTTAGTTGGAAGTAAATTGGGAGGTAAGCTATTTATACTATCCAATGTTCAGTACTTAGTTAAATGCAGTCAAAATTTTATGATGAAAAACAGACCGTTGAGTTGACTGTTTTACCTTATTATTTTATATATACTTGAAATTATACATTAAAAATTATTTCAGTCTACCTAATCTTCTTCTTTTGCATTTGTAGCCCCATCAAGACGTGGTGATTTGGAAATACTTGGTTATTGCATGATCCAATGGCTTACTGGCCATCTTCCTTGGGAGGATAATTTGAAAGATCCTAGATATGTTAGAGATTCCAAAATTAGGTAAAGGAAAACTTACGTTTTTTCGAGCAAAATTATGATAAGCCAAATATTTTTAGTCACAGTTTCTTGACAGGAAATGTAGTTTCAACTGATATTGATCCGGAAATAAGAAAGTACTTGTTAAACAGTAAGAGTCCATGGTCTTTTGTTTACTGTACTTTAGAAAAATGTCTGTAAGCATATTTAGGGTGTAGCACACTATTGCTTAATATGCGATGTATTTTCATTTAACATTAATGACATTCTGTGTCATCAAGCTGCAAACAGTGACTCATTCTTTAATTTTTAACAGATATAGAGAAAATATTGCAAGTTTGATGGACAGATGTTTTCCTGAGAAAAACAAACCAGGTAGGGAAAGACTTCTTAATAGGGGTTTTGTTTTCTGCGGATAAAAAGGCATGATACCATGGAATAGCCCTTAATGTAAGATGTTAGGTGGTTTGTTAAATGAATACTTGATCTTTTTTCAATTATTAATTATTCAGTGCTTTTAGCAAAGGAAGCAAATTTCATTCATCCACTAAGCTAGTATGTATTGAGGCTTTGTTGTGTGCCAGGGACTGGAGTTACATCAGTGAACAAAACAAATATTCCTGCCATCTTGAAGCTAACATTCTAGTTGGAGGAGTTAGATAGTAAACACATGAGCAAAATGTTTATGTTCCCCTGGTTAGTACTTTGGAAATAGAAAACAGGGAATAGAATTAGGGGATGGGGATGGGGTGGGTAGTAAAGTAGGGAGGAGGACTGTAATTTTAAGTACGGTGTCCGGGGACAACCTCACTTAGGAGGTCACATTTGAGCAGTTGTAGGAAGGAGGTGAGGGAAGGAGTGAGCTGTGTAGAAGTCTGCGGAAGAGAGTTCTAGGCAGAAGGGACACTAGTGCCCGGGGGTGCGAGGACTGTCTTTACAGGTAACCATGAGGGCTTTGGCTTTTACTTCAAGCAGGAGTGTGAGGTTTGGAGCAGAAAAGTGACATGAACGGTTTAGCCTGAGGGGAAATGTCTCTTGCTTCTGGTGTGGGGATGGACTGCTGAGAGAGCAAGGGTGGGCCTAGGCAGCAAGCAGGTTATCAGGCCACTGCAGTAACCCATGCAAGAGAAGTAGCAGCCAAAGAGTGAGAAGTGGTCAGCTTGGATGTAGTCAGACGTCTTTTTAAGCCTTTGCTCAGTTGTCTCCTTTTCAGGGAGGTCTACCCTGACCTTATGCTATTTAAAATTGCAACTTACTTCTCATGCCAATAAATGCAATATGGGTTTCTCAGAATTATCCCTTGGGCCTCATACCAATCAGTAGCCTCTCCCTCTTGTCCCAATGAGTCACTTACCTTAACTTCCAATACCAAATATTTGTGTTTAAAATGTATAGAAATGGAATAATACAGTGAATGGAATAGATAAAATCCCTGTCCTCATGAAATTAATGTTTACTTCTGTTAGTGTCCTTTTCTTTCACTCAGTTATATGTTTGTGAAATTCATCCCCATTATTGTGTGGTTTTTTTTGTTTTGTTTTTTTGAGACAGAGTTTCACTCTGTTATCCAGGCTAGAGTGCAGTGGCACAATCATGGCTCACTTCAGCCTTGACCGCCTGAGCTGAAGAGATCTTGCCACTTCAGTCTCTGAAGTAGTTGGGACTATAGGCACATGCCATCACGCCTGGCTAATTAAAAATATTTTTTTTTGTAGACATATGGTCTCACTGTGTTGTCCAGGCTAGTCTTGAATTCCTGGGCTCAAGCAGTCCTACTACCTTAGCCTCCCAAAGTGTTGGGATTGTAGGCATGAGCCATTGTGCTTCGCCCTATTATTGTATGTTTAACAGTAGTTTCTCCATTATTATTTCTGTATGGTAGTCTATTGTAGTTATATACCATTATTTATTCTGCTCTTAGGTTGTCTCCAATTTTTGGCAGTTGCAGCTTGCCAGTTACACATACAGATGTATAGTCTACCTGCAATTGATTTTTGGGTATTATTTGAGGAGGGGTCGTGTATCTTTCTTATCCTCTTATTTATATCTAGTCGACCCTTGAAAAGACCATTCTTATCCTTTCTTATCATGTTTGTCATAAATCAAATGTGGATCTGTGCATCTGTGCATCTGTTTCTGGACTCCCTTTTTTCAGTTGTTCTTTTTGCCTATTCTTGGACCACACTGTCTTAATTACTGTAGCTTTGTTTTAGGCTTGATATCTGGTAGTTCAAATTCTTTAGCACGCTTTTTTTTAACTAGACTTTGCTACTTAGCTGTTATTTGCCCTTTGCATTTCTATTTAAATTTTAAAATCACCTTGTCAAGTACACACACACTCACCCACCCCCACATTTACTGGAACCTGGGGATTAAATTGATCTGTAGACCAATTTGGGGAGCACTAACATCTTTATACTGTTGAGTTTTCCAGTCCACTTATATGGTATGTCTTTTATTAAATTTGGTCTGACTTAATTTCTCTCAACTGTGTTTTATAGTCTCCTCTAGGAAAACCTTGCCCACCTTTCATTGTATTTGTTGCAAAGTATTTGATGCTATTTTAAGTATTTTTTGAAAAGTTTATTTTCCAATTGCTTTTTACTAGTATATAGAAATAAGATAGATTTTTATATATTTACTTTGCATCTTATGACCCTGCTAAATGTATCTACTAGACTAGCAGGTTTTTGTAGATTCTGTAGGATTTTCTACATGTAGTATGATGTTGTTTGTGAATAAAGACTAGTTTACATCTTTTTTCCCACTTTTTATGCCTTATATTTCTTTTCTTATTGTACTAGTGAAAAGTACACATGACTATTCTGCTATACTGAGGTGACCTGGCAAAAGTGGACATTTTGCTCTCCAAAGGGGGAGCATTTTCAATGTTTTATCATACATGGTGATACTTGTTTTGGGTTTTTATAGATCCCCTTTATCAGATGAAGAAACTGGAAGTTGGGGATTTTTGTCTGTTTTTTTCTTGGTATATTCCAAGTATTTAGGAATAATCTGTGACATAGGAGGTGCTTAATAAATATTTGAGTTAATGAAGGGGTGTGTGTGTGTAGAACTGATCTCTTGAAAGACTGGGGTGTGAAAAGAAATGATTCAAGGGTGACTAACTCAGATTTTGGCTTGAGGAGCTAGAAGGATGAAATTCTCAGTAACTCAGACAGAGAAAACCTCAAGTTTTAGGGATAGGTCAAGAGTTTAGATGTGGGTTTGTTGGAATTTAAGGTGATATGTATATATTCAAGGACCAACATATGAAATGGTGAATATACAAGTCTGGAGGTCGGGGAAAAGGTCTGTGTGTGAGTTACTAGCTCAAAAATGGATTTTTAATGTTGAGAAGTATTGATCTTGACTAGTAGAATTTCTTTTTATGGTGTCGTTTTGTTTAAGTGTACAGTAAACCTTTATCATTCCAAAGGTGATTTTTCTCTTCTATGGGAAAGCCAGACCTTATTTCTTTCTTCTTTCTTTGACCTCTTTTTGGTGTGTTTTATTTCACCTTTACATAAAGAATATAGCTATTTGCTACAGAGCTAATGGCTTTGATGGCAAAAACATATTGGCTGTGATATTCATTGTATTTAAGAACATTTTACTTTTATAATCTTTATTCTAGATCCCTTTATATTTTTATAGCATTAATACTATATAGTTATTTTTATGAATATTTAAATTTTAAGTTATATCTTGTTTCTCACAATTAACAGAAGTGTTTTACATTGTTTCTCAAAATACATTTTTAATTAGTTTCTGAGTTCAAAGGCATACTTTTCAATGAAGTGATTGAAAAAAGTAGGTATCTTAACAAGATGTGTGTTTCCAACTTTACTATAACCATGAATTTTTTTTTAGAGGTAAGAGAGAAATAGATTTGTTATCGAAAGTTATAAAATGATTGTGTTGTCCTTCTAGGTGAAATTGCAAAATACATGGAAACAGTGAAATTACTAGACTACACTGAAAAACCTCTTTATCAAAATTTGCGCGATATTCTTTTGCAAGGACTAAAAGCTATAGGAAGTAAGGATGATGGCAAATTGGACCTCAGTGTTGTGGAGAATGGAGGTTTGAAAGCAAAAACAGTAACAAAGGTGAATTTTGTTATTAAATTATTCTTTGGTCTTGTGTTTATAATTGCAATGAATACTAACTTTAAGAAAGTATAGCAATTTTTCAGTGAAGAAAAATAACATTGCATGGCAATTAAGGCAAACACTTTTTATAATACAGAACAATGTGTAGAGGTTTATAGAAAAATACATATTTTTTATGTTTGGTAGCAAGTTTTAAACTCCTGAAATGATTTTAACTTGGAATATGTATATCTGACTGAGAAATTTTGATGAGACACTGAATTCTTAATTTATATTCTCTTTTCTCCCACGTCACCCCTTAGGGTTCATCTTGTTTCAGGTTGTTCCTTATTCGTGGATATGGTCAAAGTGTTTACTAGTTGAAAACGGGCATTTGAAAATTTCCTTGTTTGTTGGTGTGGTGTGTTTTACCATTTGAACATTATTTTGCTCTGTGCAGAAATATTATGTAAAGCTGTATACCAGCAGTTAAGGGGATTAATTGTTTGGAGAGAAATGTTAAATAATGAACTTCATGGTAGAAGTATTATAAAGCATGTAAAGAACTGGCATCACTTTAGATTTTACAGGTATGCAATAACTGATTTGCTAGTGCTTGTTTTTGATAATTATTTATAAACTTACTGATTTCCTTTATGATCTAAATTATTAATAAAATGTGTTAGCTATTATATGAGGAAGAAAAGCAACTTTTTAGAAGAAAAAATTTTGTTTTACATTATTAACCATTTTTATTGTCATTAACTTTGTAAATTCTAATAGATTTCTTTGGAAATCTCATATTCCAAACTGAGAAAAAGGATGAAAACAAATTTTTCTTTTTAAAATCAGAAGCAGCATATTTAAAATTGTTTATCTTTTCAATTAACAAAGGTGATAGGAATTTCAATATTGGACCAAGAATTTGACTTTCTTTGGCAAATAACAGGTCTCTGTAATTACTTTCATCAAAAAATCTGAAATTATATACATGCATCCACATATACCTCCTTTTCTTGGACAAGTTTTGTCTTAATTCCATCTGCTCCAGTTTTGTGGTGAACAAGTGTGCTGAAAGCTGTACCATGTTTGAAATGAACAGGGTAAAATGGAAGCCTGAGTGGAATTTTTTAGTAAGGTATTAGAGTAAACTTACTCTTTGTGTACATGCATAAACAAACAGCATGGCTTGGCTCAGGATAGATTTCTCTGCATTATTTATAGCTAGCTTGTATAGTGTTTTTCTCTAAAATTTTGTTGATTGAGAAGTAAAGATGTCTTCTTCTATATGAGAACTTGTCTAGGGCAGCCACCTCCCAGCTCTCAGCCCTCCACCTCTCTGCCCCCGCCCCCGCCTTCCTTTGCAAATCCCTGTTGTTTGGACCTACATGCTGGAGAAAATTTAGTTTCTGCAGGTTGGCTGACTTTACAGCTGAGTAGGTCAGTCTGCTGCAGAGCTAACATCTGTGGCCTTATAATTCTCTTGTGTCCTTGGATAGTTCAGAAGGCTGGAAATTTTCTGTTGGATCATCCCCTACACGTATAAAGCTTCTTTTAGGGGAAAAAATGAATACGAAGTTGAACAAGTTGTACTATTAGGAGGTTTACTTCATTAGTTTACTGCTTTTTGTAAACTCACTGCTGACATAGGGTTATTCTTTGTATTAAAAAGAAAGTAACTAAAAGTTAAGGTAAGGGTAGGTAACATCATAAAGCTGCTTGACAGCCATGTCACTGAAGTGAGTCATTAATTTTGTTGGCGTTTTTGTTTGTTTGTAAAGTGAAAGAATTGGACCAGACCAGTTTCTTTTTAAGCCTTTCTTTTAAACTGCAGAACATTTTCTTCAAATAAATCGTAAATGCTCTCACTGAAACCAGATAAAAGCAGAGCTCTGCTGGATGGGAAGTTAACTTAGAGGGGTCGCTACAAGGAAAAGCTTTCTCCTTTGAGAAACTAGCTTGCTGTCTCTTTTTCAGCAAGATCTATAACCCAGATGTCTCTTTTTGTTCTGGATGTCAGGAGGCTCAAAACTAAGTATGATGCTTAGTTCTAGAAACTTTGTTAAATTTTTATAATTAGTACGTTTTTTCCCTCTCTTTTTCTTTGTCATAATTTTTCAAAGTGTAAATTATATTTTCTTTGTTTATATCAGAGTCAGATCTGTTTTGGAAAGAAGTAGGTTTAATCAGTTTAACATTCAACAATTATGTAAAAGGTTCCTAAGAGATTTTCTTTTTGGTAAAAACCTACAGGAATTGATCAACAATGGAATGAAGCAAGGTTTCTTGTCTATTTTTTTGCAGCCGTGCTTGATTATGGTGCAGTATATTTAGAAACGAGTGAAACATGAATTTTCCCACTTGGAAATCTTAAATGTTTTCTGCTTAATAATCAAGGAGTTTTATTTAAAGCATAGAATTTTGGGATGGTGTAAGGCTGAAGAAGAAGAAAGAGATCAAGTATAAATCTGCTCTTAAAAAGTACAAAGCCAAATATTTTTCTTGTTGATTAGAACTAAACACTTCCAGTTTTTAGAATCTGGCAGTACAGTGCAACAGTTACTGGATTCAGTGTATACTCATAAATTAACATTGAACAATTATGTAAAAGGTCTAATTTACCTACCTGATGTAGGCTAGGTCTCTGGGGCTACGAAGATCAATGACATGTAGTCCCATCCTTAAAGAATTCCTTCCTGTTCCATCTGGGTTAAGAACAGCTTAATTTACTGGAAAGAGCTCAGCAAGTTAAAAGGACATTAACACCTCCATTAACTATTTTCTTTTAGGGTTTTAAGTTGCCTGCCTAAATTAACAAAAAAGTTGTTGTTTGGAATCTCATCCCTGGAAAGTCCTTGAGTAGGTCTAGATCATGGCCTTGCAATTTGTATTTTATTTTTTTTTCAGACAGTCTATATTGTTACTCCAAATGAATTATTTGCACATACCTTTCTTTCCTTCTCCTCTATTTTACCTCCTAATTTTTAAATTTTGTTTTTCTGGCTGCATTATGCTAATTGGCCTTTCTAGACTTTCCCCGAAAAAATCATTAACCGTTGTTAAATAAACCCTTACTGGCACTCAGCCTGGAATAGGGTACAAAGAGTTGAATAAGAGCAAAGCCCTTCCATTGCAAATCAGTAGCCTGCAGCTGCTCTGGTGGACGGCTTTCTTCCTTTCTTCCTCAGGGGATTATACCTTATACAGTCTTTATACCATGTAGCCTGTTGTTTCAGTCGGGTTGCCCTGAATGTTTGCTCTAGATTTTGGGAAAAATCTATCTGGCTATTTTAGCCTGATACTGTAATAAAGGTAAACTGTATTTTAATTATATAAATTCAGATTGTTGAAGTTGATACATCTCTGTTTTCTAATGGTTTGAGCATAGTACTGTAGTTAAGTAGAGTCAGCATTTCCTAGCAGTTTTTTTCTTTAGGTCTGTTATTGATTTTTTTATTTTGAACTTCTTATTTGGCTGAATTTTGTCAAGTGGCCTTTCCCCCCCTAAATTATTAAGTGAAATTGTTACATATATATAGAAAAGTGCAAGAATAAGGACACTTTTATAAAATACTCATTTAAACATCATTCAGATCAAGATATGGATCATTGCCAGAATTAGTTTTGCCAGTTTTGGTGAAATTTATAGTAATGGTATATATTATGTACTCTTTTGTTTCTTTCATTTAGTTGTATCTCTGAATTTCCATGCTGTTGCATGTAACAAAAATTTGTTGTTTTTCATTGCTGTATAGTATTCCATATGACTATCCCATAATTTATTGACAGACGTTCATATTGTTCCAATTTTTGGTAGTTGCGATAATGCTGTTAACATTATTTTAATTTTTGGGGGAACAAACATTTATTTCAGGTTGCTTCTGTACATAGTGGGGTTGCTGCAGCATAGGGCTTATTTATGTTCAGGTTTTGTAGATACTGCCGGTCAGTTTTCTAAAGCTGCTATCACAGTTTACATTTCTATCAGTAGCATAGGGGAGATCCAGTGGTTACTGACACTAGCTACTGCATTATATTTATTTTCACCTATTTTGGTGGATGTGCACTGGTTTGTTTATGGTTTTAATTTAATCTCCTTGAAAAATACTGATTTGCAACCTTTTTGTATGCCTGCCAGCCTTGATAATCGTTTTTTTTTTTTTTTTGATGAAGTACATTTTAAATCTTTTGCCCATTAAAAAAAAAAATTGGGACTGTCAACTTTCTTTTGATTTGCCAGAGTTGAATACTTTATATGTATACAGTGTATGTGTTGCACATAGCATCTTCCAGTTGGTGTTTAATCTTTGCACTCTTAATATGGTGTCTTTTGATAAATAGAAACTCTTCATTTTAATGAAGCTCAGTTTATCTGTCTTTTTGTTTGTGGTTAATGCTTTTTATATTCTTTTTGGGAATATTTTGTCTACTTTAAGATCCTGAAGATATTATGTTATTTTGCAGAAATTTTATCCATCACATTTAGGTCTACAGTTTAACAGAAATTGATTTTGTGCATGGTTTGAGTCAATATTTGTTTTCCCTCTTTTGGTTATCTAGTTGATCTAAACCATTTGTTGAAAAGACGGTCCTGTCCTTACAGCATGACAGTGGGCTCTCAGGTAACCATGTGTGTTTGAGTGTCTTTCTGGATACCTATTCTGAACCATTGGCCTGCTTGTCTGTCTCTGTGCCAGTGCCACACTATTTGAACTATTGGCTTCATAATGATATCTGCTGCATACGTTCTCCAGGTTCCTAGTTCTTTAACATTGTCTTTGCTATTCTTGGGTCTTTGAATTTACATATAAATTTTAGAATTGGCTTATTAGTTTCCACAAAAATACTTTTGGGATTTTGACCGAAATTGCATTTACCCTATGGAGCAATTGGTAAAGAACTGACGTCTTCTCTTTCATAGATGTAGTAGGCCCCTATAATTATTTAGATGTTCTTCCATTTGTCTCAGTTGTGTTTGTAGTTTTCTGTCTGTAGAGATAATACACAACATCTATGTC